TGGCTACTGTAGCATGTGCCCAGCATGGCTGTGCTCCTGTCTGTGGCTGAGACTATCAGCTGATTTGATGTTCTATGTTCAAGCCATAATAAACAAAGGTGAGAGGAAACAGAAACTCAACTATCTCCTGCCCAGTCTGCCCTCGTGTGGAGCCCCGCTGTCTGGGAACTCACCTCCCTGGAGCTCAGGGAGGGCCCTGTTAGGGCCGCTATTGGCCCAAGTCTCAGACCTTCCCAAGGGCTGTAGAAGAGTGACTGGATGCATTCAATTTGTAGCCCCACTGATGAGCTTCCCTCCACCCCCATAGAAACTCAACTATCACAGACAGACAATTAGAGAGTGGCTCTGACTTACGACAATGACAGAATAAAAGAGAAAATTTCTTGGGGACTCGGGCTATTCTCCTGGCCCTCAGAAAGAACTCAGACAATACGTAGAAGCAGAGATGACTGGCCAGGCTGCAGTGAACAATTGCAGAGGGTAATCCTAAGACATTCAAGGGACCAGCACTGGGTCACTATCATCCGGCTATTGCTGAGTATGAGCCAGGTTTGGGGACAGTGGAAGTGGACTTTCTCCTGGAAGCCTGAATTATTTCTGCTCACAGGAGGCTCTGCATCTGGAGGCAGAGCTCTGCCCACAGATGTGCACTTAGTAGTTTCTCTGGGTGGCCAACTGGACCTTGTATAAGACCACTTCATTATGAGGAACTCACTGAATACTTTTTATTCTTGCTTAAAAGAAGGTAGATGGATTCAATTCAGCACGCATCCAGGGAGTGACTACTAATGTTTTTGCTGCCCAAGTGAGATGAGGAGGAGGAGGTGCAGCCCTTATTTCTCCTCAAAGGGAAGATACATGGACAGAGACATGGGGGCCTTGTGGAAGGCAAGACCAGTCTGGACTGGGGAGTTGAGAAGGGTTTCCTATTGGTATTAAAAGGAATTGTGGAATGGTGGAGGGGTTGTCTTCATGACAAATCCCAGCCTTCTGGAAATGACATCACAGAACACATTTGTATTGTTCCTTCCTAAATCTCTTCCAGCACACCCTGGGCTGAACCATGCCATCTCCTTGTATTGTCTCATGGTCCTTTAAATGAGTAAGTAAAGGACAAAGTCACTGGCTACTCTAAGAATAGCAGGATGTGGAGCCACAAAACTCCTAAAAGATCCAGGAGAAATAATATGACTGAGAATGAAATAGTCAAGTTTAAGCATCAATGCAAAGAAATACTGCAAGAAGTATGAGGTAATACGATGAAATCAAGATAAAAGTTTGGAAGAGAGAATTCAAGTTCAGAGGGGAGAGTGGGAGGTAGAGAGTTGACAGAGCAATAAATGCTTTCTATGCACTCCTGTGGCCTCACCCATAGATGGGGCTGAAGCTCTAGGGGCAAGAGATTAATGGAGGCACATATTTTCAGAAAGTTAATCTGCATGTATACCAATCACTGTCTTGCTTGAAGATGTGACTAATGCTGAGAGAAAATAGCTCTCAAAATATGCCTTTATCCTCACCCAGTGCAAATCCTTTCTATTTTCTAATACCTTTCTCAGATGTAGATCTGGGCATCTTTCAAAATTTCACCACAGCATTTCAACCCATTTGTCTGGGAAACTTATCTTAGAGTTGATCACCTCCTGGACTTGCCTGGATGTGCTACAGATGGTTGCATGAAATTTTCTAACTCTGTTTTCAGGGCTATCACATTAGTAGTTTGAAATTGGCTATGGTGGAAGTATTTACACCACAGAAATAGGTGAGTGTTGCAAATAACCCCCTCTTCATCACCAACTTGTTGTTGAATTCTTACCAGCACACAGCACACAAATAGGCCTCAGAAGGCATCCTGGGCTCTCTGGCTGGGCAAAGGCTTTAAGAATGATCAACCTGTTGTTTGTTATCAAAACATCTCACCATTTAAAAGGTTAATCTGATGCTTATGCCTTTGCCAATTTAAAGGGAAATAGAATATTGAGAAGATAGGTAAGGGGCATTAATAGGAATTTAAATCCTGTGAGGAGTTTTTTTTTAATTAGAAAAGGCTCTTAAAGAAAGTGATAAAGTTTAACTTTTCCATGTATTTTCTTATGTTTTCCACTCTGATCTGAGAAACTGATGATGCAAACAGACATCACTTACCTGTGGTACTAAGATTTGGTGTGAGATTAGAAATAGAGAATGTGAAATAATATACATTAACACTTATAAACAAGTGGACATCTCACAATATCCCAGCTGAGATGGAACTTGTAATAGATACTGAATGCTCCATCCATGCCTCTTCTTCAAAACCAACACATCCAGCCACATTTTCTGGGCATGGGCATGGCAGGCTGCCTTGTTCACAGTTGTGTCCCTTCCTGGGGTTGCCCTTGGGAGTGAGGGAGGCACTTATATTCTGGGGGAAGCTCAGAGCACATGAATGGCTAATGCAAAATGCTAGCATTTTGTCCAGTTTAGAATGACTCTGCAGAGGCACCCTAATTCCTGAATCCCTTTAGGATTGGCCAATTCTTCAGCCAACAGTTCATTGTGGGTTAGCTTTCCCCGCTCTGTTCAATCCAGGCTTTCTTACTTCCTCACAGAGGCATATCCCAGGAGCATTCTTCAGTGAACCTTCAGCTTACAATGCCCCATCTCACTCTGTGTTTCCATGGAACTGAGTTTAAGACAAGGTTAAGTCTTTAGTTTATGGAGCTCAGTAACTTACCTGATGCATGCCCCTCTCCTCACATCATCTCCTTAATCGTAGAGGTCCAACTGAGGTAGGAGATTTGGGCATGTCAAAAGCTGGCTAGGGAAGTAGGTGTGACCTGTTAACTACAAGATCCTGGCCACGTGCACAGAACAGTTCCCAAAGACCTACTTGTGGACTTCTCTCAGAACTTGAACAGGTTTTCAATAGAAAAACCTAGATCTGAAGCCAGCCTGAGGTGTGGGATCCCAACACCACCTCTCAGGACCTGTACGTAGAAGTTCTCTCAGATTTCCTCGAGATTTGGACAGTATAAAAGAAAGGCAGACTTGAGAAGCCAGTGCGATCATAACTTGCCATGATAGTCCACACTGTGTTTCCCTGATGCAAGACATACTTTTACCCTTGCTCTTACCCTCTTTTTATCTTTACTCAGCCCAGTCTTACTCTGCCGAGTCAGTTTGTGTCCCACTCTTCACTTGTACTTTCTCGAATAAACTTTGCCATTGTTTTTACTCATTCTGTTCAGTTCTTTGTTTGAGATGAGAAGTGCCTAGAATCCAGCTCCAGAAGGAAAGGTGAGAAATCCTGAATCCAGTAACGTTCAGTTGGTGAGCCACTTTTTAGAAGCAAGCAACTGGATTATACAATCCCTGCCTCACCCTTGTGGAGAAGCTTTGTTTGTGGGAATGTCTGCCTTTAGTTTGATTTGAAATCCATCTCCCTATTTAGAAAGAGGCTTATTTTCTAGTTGCACATTGTGTGTTCTGATTTATTCTAGCTGACATTGCTATGAACTTCTAAGAAGAGCGTGATATGTAATCCCTAACTCTGGGGACTTAGAACAGAGAAAATGTGCCATTCCAGTGTGTGCCATTAGAATTCAGAGAAAAGTAGGAGTACTGAAGGGGGCTAGTGAGGCTTCTGGAGACAGTATCTCTTCAGCAGGGCTCACAAAAATGTGTAGGATTTGTGCAGATGGCAAAATGCATATCAGAGGAGAGGCTGGACATGCTCATGACTTGAAATATTCTGTTGGTTTTCCCAGACTAAACTAGTTTTTCTTCTGCTAACTGCACTTTGATTTACCCTTCTCAGTCATATGATTCAAATAGGAGTAGCCACATTTCTCGGCTTCAAGAGTGATCTTGTGTCTCAATTCTGGCCAGTCAGATTTTTTCTCCCAGTTGGTCATCGTGATGACATGTGATCTAGTTGGTCCATGATACTCAGTTCTAGGACTTTTATTAGAATTATTGGAAAGGATTTTGTTGGAGCTGTTAGAGTACACAAAGCTTCTGAAGGCTAAATGCAGAGAGATGCAGAGCTTAGCTTAAGGGAGAGGAAAAAAGGAGGGAGAAGTGGAGTGGGGTGGGGGGGAATTGAAATTTTGATTTGATATTGTTCAAGCCCTGCCTACTCTTTACAATTGCAATAAAAAATTCTTTTTGTGCTTGAACCAATTAGAATTAGATTATTTATCATTTGCAATAGAAAGACACTAACAATTGTAGTTGTCAAACCAGTACATAAACTCTAGTCCAAGCCTTTTAGAGACCGAGTCCCCAAACTGCAGCCCCAAACCCACTTATATATCACAAAGTGCCAACACTGCAATTAAACCTGAATACTGAGTGGCCAAGAGTTGCGGCTAATGAGTTATAGCTCCTGGTGTCACCACCTGGTGCCACTACTCCTTTCTGAGCATGTGCATGACTCATATGTGCACTATTATCTGACGGCTGGCTGCTGGGGTGATGCTGAGGCAACTTGGCTTGCATGTCTGCTCTGGCACGTGCGCTGTAGGTTTGCCACCACTCCTCCAGTCTGATGTCAAAGGCCTGCTCTTACTCTTCAGACATGCAACTCAAAGGGCCACACACCAGCAGGTTTTCTGAAGAAAATGAGCCCATAGTTTAGCCAGGAGGAGTCTATAAGGGCATTTTGCAAACTCCTTTCTCCTTTAAAACATACTTATTCATTGAAAAACTTCACTTTTTAAGATACTGTCAGCTTTTCTTTAGTGATTGGCCTTCTCTGATCTTCTGTGGAATCTCCAATTTTTCGGTTAAATTGCTTTCAGAGAAAGTTCCTCTTTGGTCTGTTTTCAGTGGGTTCCATATGCCCAAGTAGCTTAAGTGGCTTCATTCCTTAGGTGATTTTGAAAGTGGCTCATTCAAAAATGGACCTTAATTTACAAGAGAAAATCATGAGAAATACCACATTGGAATGACCTCACAATTCTGTCTGTGATGTGGGCATTAAGAGACACTGGGGGCAGAGGAAGTCTTCCCCTCCTCTCCCATGCCCTCCAGATTTCAGAGCCTTTGATCATTTCTTTCTCAGCTTTTATGCTCCTAGAACAAAGTGGCCCATTTTGATCTACCCTTGAATGGCATCCTTGTCCCCCAACTCCTTGATCATTTCCGATGTCCTCCTCTTCACTTCCCCTAGCTGCTTTATGTCTTTAAAAGGTATGCCCAGAACTACACACAATATTTCTAGAGATCAGAGAATCAGGCTTTTATCTTTTCTCATTGATGTTAAAAATTTGATCATCATAAAATGAATCATTCTGAGGAATTTGTATTGGAATCTAAGCCCTAAGTCATTTCTTCTTTCTTCTTTCACTCACTCACTAATTTAGTCACTTAACAAGGAATTAGAAAGAAGCTGCTGTTTGCCCAAGTTTGTGCTAGGTCTTTTGGGATGCTAAACAAGGTGAGAAATCATTCTCTTCCCTCAGGGTATGCACCAGTGCTGATAATGCAAGACCAATTTATAAGAAGTCAATAACAATAATGTCCTCCATTACAATCTTACACAAAACACAGGTCTAATTTTCTCCTCATACCTTCATTTTCCTAATGAAGGACTCAAAGACAAGTAGGAATACTCAGAGAGATGTGCCTGTCAATCAGCTGAATCAACCATCTCCGAGTTCGTGCCTTTTTCCTAAACAACAACTCTTTTTACCAGCCATCCAACAAAGGTCTTAACCTGATGTTCTGAGACTCAATAGTAAAGATCCAAACTCAAAAATGAGTTACAGCCTGAGATAAAAAACGTTCTGTGACAGATAAGCTGGACTGTCAACTTGATTGGCTTGTGAGCTGCCTAGAGGATTAGTAAAGACACTTCTGGGTGGGTCATAGAGGCATGGAAAGTCTGACTTTGAGTACTATATCTGCTATCTGTCCTCTTCTTCCCAGATGCTGTTGCCCTGCTGTGCTTACTAGCCACTATGGACTAAGAAGCTTTGCTCCACCATGTTCTGCCATGATGTGTCTGCTTTGGAGCCATCTGACCATGAACTGAAACCTCTGAAACTGTGAGCCAAATAAACCTCTTTTAAAGTTGTGGGTGTTAAGTATTTTTTATCAGCAACAAGAAAGCTGATTAATATATCACCCATAATATACATATTGCTATGGTTTGGATAAATGTCCCCTAAAGGTCCATGTGTAAAAGGTTGGTCCCAAGGGTCTATTGGGAGATGGTAGAACCTTTAGGTGGTAGTGACTATTGAGGGGTCCTTAGATCACTGGGAGCATACCCTCGAAGAGGATGATGAGATCCTTGTCTCTTCTCTTGGCTTTCTGAGTCATGATGAGTGGTTTTCCTATGTGCAGACTCCTGATATGATGTGCCAACCTCTGCCTGAGGAAGAAATCAATAGTGCCACTTGATCTTGGACTGGAACCTCCAAAATAGTGAACTAAAATAAACGTCCTGTTTTAATAAGTTACTTATCCCAGGTATTTTGTTATAGTGATGAGAAAATGACTAACGCAAGTACTTATGGAGGGAAGACTTGTGAAATGGAACTCTCCCAGTTTAGGGCCTTCCTGGAATCTTATTATGCCTCAAGCATGGGCTGACCTACTTTCCATATCAACCTCATGCTAGAAGACCCATATTTCTACTGCTTTACCCACCATTCCCTCTTTATTCTAATACAATATTTCACCTTTGGTTGAAAAAAATATCTACTTTCTCACTTTTATTTCAAACTTGAGCAGCACCAGCTTCTGACTTCATTAATGGACGTATGTCCTGGCCAGGCCACTTCAACTCCCATTATTTCCATGTTTGTGGAATGGGCCAAAGGTGATTACATGATTTGGGGCCAATCTGCAACAATAAGGGTTGTCCCTGTGATATTTGAAAAAGTTAGAAAAGGTTAGTTTTCCTCCAGGATTTTAAGTTGATGAGTGGTAAACTTGAGGCTGTTGTTTTCCATCTTCCTAATGTATAGGAAGAGGCAATTTGAACATATCCAGACAAAGAAAAGCAGAATGGAGGAGTGGAGGGAGTTTGCTGATGGAATACATTCAGTACTCCTTTATAGTACTGAGCTGTCAGCCACATAAGCTGATGATAGCCCTCTTACACATAAGCCTACTTTAGTTGTGTTTCTGTTACTTGCAAGCAAAACATCCTGATCAATTTTCCCATCTACCTACAAGTACCTTCTGGCAGCATGAGCTGCTTTCTTTCCTCCCTTATCTAGTCTTTCCTTCCACTAAACTCAGAACTCCATGAGGATTAGTACCTCATCTGCTTTATTCACATTTAATACCTAACTGAATAAACTCCCCAACACTGGGGATGATGCCACATTTCTTCAGTACTTAAAGAAATGACTGCCAAAAATTCACTCTATTGTAATTTACTACTAAAAAAATAGTCAAATTAACTAAAGCACTAAAGTTTGTGAATTTTCATGGATTATTATCTTTTTATGTCATATGATAGAGTCAAGGTTATCCATATAGCATCACTGTCTCTAAAATTCCAAGATGCTTTTCTTTATGAGAATAAAAGGGCATGTGGGACATTGCAAATATGATCTGCACACAGAAACTTTGGACAAAATTATGTTTTTTTGCAAACTCTGCATGAGGTGACAAACACAACTGTGGGCATTTTTCCCACATAAAAATGTTTCCAACTTTTTCAAAATCATAGGAAAAATTAAGTTCATGAACCGAGGTGACATATATATGGTTCAGTACTGCTTGGTTTGGATATAGTTTGAGTGTATTGTGAAGTATTAAAAGGCAGAAACAATTGACTATGGTGTTTAGTGGGGGGACCTTTGGAGGTTGATTAGGATTAAATGAAATAATTGGGTTGAAGCCTTCATGGTTGAATACTGGTGACTTAATAAAAAGAGAGTGAGCTCAGGGAAGATACACATACTCCCTGTCTCTTTTTTTAAAATTAATTTTATTGGTACATTTTAGGCATACAATATAATGACATTCATCATTAGAAATGTGCACCTTTACATAATCTCTCTTGGTTCTTATTTTTTCCCCATTCCGCTGCCCTCCCTTCAACCCCTCCATCCCTCCCTATTTACAAAGACTTTGTTTCCATTTTTTCATCTTTCCCCTATCCCCTCACTTCCCCTTTCCCTTTGCCCCTTTTCTTCCTTTTTCACATTACTCCCTGTCTCTTGCCATGTGTATTGGTTAGGGTTCTCTAGGGGGATAGAATCAACAGAATACATACATACATATGCATATATGCAAGGGAATTTATTAGTTATGCTTACAGGATCAGAACCAGGATGGTCTGCAATGGCCATCCATTAGTTGGAGAGCTGGGAGATCCAGTACCTGCTCAGCCAAGAAGTTGGAAGAAACAGAACAAGAGCATCAGTCTGAGACTAAGGGCCTGGAAGCTCCCTGGAGAATTGCTGCTATAAGTCTGCCTTGAAAGGCTGAAGAAACTGGAGTCTGATGTCCCCAGGTGACAGCAGCAAAGGATGCACTCACTCAAGCAGATTGGAGCATTTCAAAACTCACTAAGTTTCCCTTTCTTTCCCTTTTATTCCATCCAGTCCACAAGCCTATTGCATGGTGCAGTTTGCTGCCTAACTTGCCAGTCACCCAGAAGTATAGTTCAAGTATCTGCTAGGTATTTCTTAATCCAGTTGAGTTGACACATCACAATTAATGGTCAGACCATGTGATGCCCTATGCCACGTTGGGACTCTGCAAGTAAGAAGGTCATCACCAGGTGCAGGCCCTTGACCTTGAACTTCTAGAACAGTGAGCCAAAATAAATCTTGTTTTTCTGAAGAGCTGTTCAGCCTCAGATATTTTATTGTAGTAACAAAAAATCAGACTAAACTTCAGCTTTAGGCATCATCTCAGGGTCTTGGAATGCATCACCTGTGGATAAGAAGAGATTACTATAATGACCAAGCCATTTCCCCTGTGCAGCATGTCTATACTGCTTTCATGCTGGCCACTCAACCAGAAACTCCATCCTCACTTATCCCAATTCTGCTCATTGTTCTTCAATGCGCAGGCAAATCTCCCTTCAACGTGAAGCCAGCCATTCTTCCCCTAACCTAGGTGACATTCCCCCTTACTTTAACATTTTATTGTGTTTTTAAAAAGTGTTTTAAAACTCTTACAAAAGTTATGTGAAATTTTAAACATTTACAAACAAAATCAATTATTTTTGGTGCACAGCTCCAGGACACGTGCAGATTCATGTAATTACACACCACCACGATCATGACTCGGAAACAGTATGAATGAGACAAAAATATTCCCTTGTACAGTTTCTGTGAGTCAAATTCTCTTCTAGCTCCAGTCCCTGGATACCACTGGGCCATTCTCTGTCCCTATAATTTTCTCGCCCTAGAATGTTATATAAATGGAACCACACAGTAACCTTTGAAACTAGCTTTTTTCATTCAGCCTAATGCCTTTGAGATTCAACCATGTTGATGTGTATATCAAGAGTTCATTCCTTTTTACTGCTGAATACTAATCCATTGTATTAATGGAGCATAATTTGTTTATTCATGGTTGTTTGGTGGCATCTAGTTTTTAGCTATTGTAAAGAAACCTGCTATAAACATTTGTGTGCAAGTCTTTTTTATAGACATATGCTTTCATTTCTCTTGGGAAAATACCTAAGTCTAGATAAGAATGTCTACATCAAGGCAAGCATATGCTGAAATTTATAAGAAGCTGTTTTCCAGGTGACTGTACCCATACTATTTTACATTCCCATCAGTAATGTATGACAGTTTCAACTATTCTGTATTATAATCAGAACTTGATGCAGTAGCTTACTTAATGATGTAGGTTCTCTACATCCTTTCAAGAACTTTGGTTAACAATAAGTCTGCTTTCATGTTTTTTTCAAATTTTTTTCTTGGTGTTGAATTTTAAGAGTTTCGTATGTGTGTGTGTGTGTGTGTGTGTGTGTGTGTGTGTGTGTGTGTTACTGGGGATTGAGCCCAAGTCGTTCATTACATCTCTACTCCTTTTTTCATCTTTTTATTTTGAGGCAGTGTCTTGTTAAGTCTATAAATTTCCCCACATGGACTTGAACAGGTGATCCTTTTGCCTCAGCTTTCTGGAATGCTGGGATTACAGGTATGCAAGACCAGATCTAGCTCTTTAAGAGTTTTTTATATATTGTGGATGTAAGACCTTTGTTGAATTTGTGATTTGCAGATACATTTTTTCTCAATAGGTAGCTTGAATTTTTATTTTCCTAATAGTTTTGTAAAGTAACAGTTTTTATTTTTAGGAAGTACAATTTATCAGTTTTTTCCTTACAAAGAGGAAATGCCATGCATTTGGCAAACATGAAATCACAAATATTTTTCTATAAGTGTCATAATTTTTATTTTAGATGTGAAGTAACTTTTGTATAAGGCATAAGATATGGATGAGGTTCATTTGGCAAAGCATAGAGATGTCCAATTGTTCTATCATTATTTGTTGAAAACCTTCTAACCAAACTGAAAAAAAGAAAGAAGTCATACATTTTCAGTAAGAAGAATGGCCACACAGACATTAAATAGATATTTATGCACATAAATGTGATATTTTATATAAAATATTCCTCTAAAGCCACAAACCATCAAAACATACCCACGAAGATGTAGGCACCTTTACACCATCATATGGATTTAAGATTAGAGATTAGAAAAATAGTCTATTAAAATTACTCAGATACCTGTCATTTCTGCTGGTCTTCTTTCATTCCTAAATTCTAAGTTTTCTTCGTTATTTCCCTTTTAGATTAAGAACTTTCTTTTTTTAAATGGGTTTTAAATTTTTTATTTTACTAGTACATGTTTGCAGTACATGAAGATTACATTCATTTTAGGGAGTAGTTATGTGTTATAACACATCTTGATTCTTTTTAATTCTCTTTTTCCTATCTCCTTCCCTCCATCTCTAAATTCCCTTTCCCCATTTTCATTATTATTGTTATTATTATTTTATATAGTTCATGTTTATGACATATAATGTTTACAGTCACTGTGGGTATTTGGTACATGCA